TATTTTCTTTTTTGATGTCCAAAATCATCCACAGAGCGATCTCAGCCAGAAGGCGCTCACCCTTGCCGGGGTCTGGTTCGCGGGGGAGTACGGCGACCTCTTGCTGCGGCCTTGCGCCGCCCTTCCCGCGGAGGAGGGAGTTGAGGGAGAGGAAGGCGTCGACGGAGCGGCGGCTGTGTGGGTGCAGCCGGTGCTCAAGGACGACGACGACGACAAGGGGAAGGGGAAGGACGGGGGGGGGGGCTCCGCCGCGGATAAGGAGGGGGAGGGTGCGCTCTCCAAGGCGGCGAGCTTCTTGTCGATGGGCGGGAGCGCGAGCGTCGGCGCGGCGCACCACGCGGTAGAGGCCGGGGAGATCGTCGACCTGATGGCCAAGATTATGAAGGTGTGTATGTGGGGGGGCATGTTCGAGATTGGGTGTGGTCGTTTATCCTCTGTTGTTAAAATCGACCTCGCTAACCGGAATTATCGACTTTGGGGTGGTGTGATCGTGAGTCGGGAGCTTCGGGATATTCGTTGGCCTGGTGGGTACTTTGCGCGTTCCAGCTGTTGTTGCTGTGTTCGTCTTGATCTGACCTGATGTGCTGGTGGCAGCGTTTGTCCTGTTGGTATCGTCGAAACGCAGCATGTTGAGGGGGGGCACTAACCTTCAACAGAATATCCACACACATTTGAGTACATGATACTCTACGATAGGCACTGCCCCTGTTGCTGCCGCAATGAAGCACGCTCTCATTCGTCCTCTCTTCCTTTCTCTCCTCTCGCTGTCTCTCTCTCTCGCTGTTTCTCTGTCTCCTGTGTCTCTGTCGCTCTCTTCCTCTCTCAATCTATCTCTCCCCCTCTCTCTGTTGCTCTCCCCGATTCTTAATCCCCCGCCCCCCCCGCCCCCTCTCTCTCCGTGGCGTGCTTCGACGTGTGCCTTTTCTAGGACCACAATAGCGACCGCACGACAAGAGGCTACGTCTTGACGGCCCTGACCAAGCTTGCCGGGCGGCTGGGGGAGGACCAGGAGGACGCGATAGAGGGCTTGCTCCAAACTTACAGCGGGTCCATGAACCTCGAGCTACAGGTGCAGCTAGATATTGCCTGGGAGCCGACCGCAGATGCCGGTGGTAGCACACAGCAACACACACGTATCGCTGCAAGGCTGATGTCACGTATCGCTGCAAGGCTGACGTCTTTTTTTGGTCTGCCGAGTAGCTCGTTCGGTGTTGTAACAGTTACCAGGAACCGCAAGACACACCCACACACCGGGCGATTGTTGATTGCATATGTCACTACCGAAAACAGAAGGTTGATTTTGTTAATGCCTTTGGTGCTGTACATGATTGTTGAAGTACTTGTGCAAAAATAGGTGTGAAAGGAATACCTGTATCAGAAAACGTATCAGGGACCCGTCCTAGTGCTATCTTAGTATCACTAAATCAATCAAGTGCTGTCAACAGATTGGGTTTTCCTTTCCGCACAAGTGCAAAGCGTGTTTCGCGGTGATGACAGGTGTCGGAAGACGCATCATCATTCTTTCGTGGTGGGCAGGCAATGCATTATGGAGCTTTCAACATCCTCTTTGAACGCGATTGGTCAAGCTCCTTCCTCAATCCCTCCCCCCCCTCCTCCTTCTTGATCAAGGATAGCTGTCGGAAGCCGCATCATCGTTCCTTCGTGCAGCGGTGACAGGCGCCCGGTGTGTTGCGGCGCTTTTTTAGCTCCTCCTTGAACACGATTGACCTTCTCATTTCCTCAGCCCTCGGCTCTTTCTAGCTCCTCTTTGAACATGATTGGCCCTTCTTTCCCCTCGACCCATACCGTTCCCCCCTCTCCTCCGTCCGACCTGCCTACGTCCGGTCTTATAACACAACACGGACGTTCGTGCGTGATCGTGGCAGGCGAGATCGTGCGAGTTCGGCCAGCTATTGCGACCAGAGCTGGCCGAGCTCAGGAAGGGGATGCTTGATCGGATGCCGGTTGCCGATGAGGAGACCGTCCGCAATCGAAGAGCCCGCTTCCGAAACGAGGATGTAAGTTTAATTTTTTTTCTTCGAGGCAGAGACAGATAAGACAGACAGAGCGACAGCAGACAGATGGAGAGAGAGAGAGGCGGGTTGGGGTGTGCGCTCATGTGTAAACGTATGACGTAGTCGTTGGACCATTGACCTGGCATGCCGGGACGGAGCGATATCCGGGGTTTCGCCCGCCCGTAGCAGGTGGGTGAGGGGGGGNGGGGGGGGGGGGGGGGGGGGGGGGGGGGGGGGGGGGGGGGGGGGGGGGGGGGGGGGGAGGCGGACGGGATTAAGATTGCGAAGGTAAGACAAGAGATGGGGGCGAGCGTGGGGCATAGATAGAGGGGACCAAAAAATTCGAAGCGAAGATGAGGGAATGCCCAGACCAGCGCCAGGGGAGGCGGTGAAAGCACAGGCTAGAAGTACGTGTCCATTGGCGTTGTTTTTCCCATCATGAGGCTGACCTTTTCTAATTGTTGAACCTGTTAGCGTAGTCGATGCGACTTCAAGAGCCAGAAACATGCGCAAGGAGGGGATAAAAAGACAGAGATTGAGACAGGCAGACAAACCATGAGGGAGGTGGAACGGGGAAGCGCGTTGTTCAGCGTGACCTCTCTTAGTACGGGCCGGTTGTTTCGCACTTGCATCCATGGGCTGCTCTCCTTTGTCTCGGGCTCTATCCCCCCCCCCTCCCGTCCTTTGCTGCAAACCTCTAACGTCGAGCAGAAGGGGGCCGATGATTCAGACGAAGACGACGACGACGACGATGAAGGGCGTGCCTTGCCGTCTTTCAGGATCTCGAAGGCCAGCAAGCACAGGCGAGGGGGAAGCGGCAGCGGCAGCGGCGCGGCGGCGGCAGCGGCGAGGGCGGCGAGGGCGGCGCTAGGGGCGGGGAAGAAGACGGTGCAACCTCTGGCGGGCCCGGCCGCCTCCGCCGGGGGAATCCTCAGCAGCGGGGCCCCCTCCAGGCAGGAACAGGCGGCCGCGGTGCCGAACTTGCTTGACTTGGACGACCTGTTCGGCGGGGGGCCCGGGGATTCCGCGGCGGCGGCGGCTCCGGCGGGGGAAGGAAAAGCGGCGACGGTGGACCTGATGGCCGATATTTTTGCTGCGAAGCCTGCCCAGGTGAGTGAGCGACGGAACGCGTGCTTTTGGCGTTGTGTTGTTGTTTTGTTTGGTGGTGGTGGTGGTGGTGTTGGTGTTAGAGGAATTTTTGGTTTGTCTCTCTCAGGGGGTACGTCAATATCGCACAGTTGTCAGTTGAGAGTTTTCATGATGGTGAAATGGTGATATCCTTGAGTAGGCGAGTGACTTGGCCCTTGTAGGCCTCGTGGGTTTGTGCCGTTGCTACTGTTACGGGTACCCTATGTTTTTTCACCAGTTTTTCCTGGATACGCCCAGAGTTTGCGGCCCGACCTTGGCTCCGTTTCTCTCCAACTACTTTTGTCTATTGTTGGCGGTGATCGACCCGCCTCCACGCCAAAACTGATCTGATTATCATTGTCACCGCTGTGGGTGAAAACGGCCCGCTATTCCCGCGTGCCTGCAGCCACCGGCGGCGGCAGGTGTCGTCGACCCCTTCGCCCCAACACCGGCACCGGCCACCGCCGCTAACGGCAGCGGCGGTGGAGTTGGTGCGACGCTAACGGGGGCGGTGGCGGCGGCGCCAGGAAGAAAAGCGGTGCCCGCGGTAACGGCGACAGCAACGTCGGGTCAGCCACCGCCGCCCTCGTTTGTCGCGTTCGAGAAGGGTGGCCTGACGGTGACCTTCGAGCTGTCCAAGCCGTCTCCGGCGGAGGACCCGTCGACCACTCTCGTCAAGGTCATTTTCCGGAATTCCGGGGCCAGGTGAGATGCTGCCCTCCTGCCCTACCATCCGCGGTCTGTTGTCGGCGGCGGATTGGTTTTGTGCAGTTGCATGTGTCGGGTGTGTGGCACACTTTCGTGCCAATGTTGTAGGACTCGAGTTAATCGTTGGATGCTGTTAATAGCAGTTTTTGGAGGTATTTCTACATAGCATTCACAGACGCGAAAACTGTCGGTACAAGTATATGTTAGGATGTGGTAGTTCTACATACGCCCGACCAACACACTTAAAATACAAGTGAAGTTAAAAGGAGGTTGAACTGCTTCGGTTTTCGCTGTTGTCGCTGCCCCCCCCCCCCGGCGACGTATCGTTGCCAACCGCCAACCCCCCTTTCCATGCCCGCCGTACACTCCTGCCCCGCCCCCCAAACACGACTGCTGTTGTTGTTAGTGATGTAACGGGTCTGCACGTCCAGGCGGCGGTGCCGAAGTACCTTCGGCTGGAGATGCAGCCTGCATCAGGGTCTGTGTTGAAGGCGGGGGGTGCGGGGGCTGTGGAGCAGGTCGTGCGCATCACAAACTCCTTGCAGGTATGTAGATATCGCAAGAGATGAATTTGGAGAGATGCCGGGGGGGGGGGAGTGTGTGTTGGTGGGGNTTGCAGGTATGTAGATATCGCAAGAGATGAATTTGGAGAGATGCCGGGGGGGGGGTAGTGTGTGTTGGTGGGGACGTGTATGCAAGCGGTGATTTGGAAGAGTCGTGGTGTGTTGGTGAAGCCGGTGGTGTCAGAGATTTTTATTTGTCCTCAGACCACCTAGGTGATGGCAATGTCACGACGACAGGGACGGTCTGGATTTGAGGAGAACCAGAAGCGGCTGAGACGAGGTGATCGAGCTTAACGGTCTGTCGACTGTCTGTAGCCCCCAAACAAAACTGCACTGTCCCTACTCTGTGTGTCCGCGCGTCAAGCTCTCTCTCTCTCGCACGCCTCCTGCGTGTCTGGTCCTGATAAACCTTACGTCTTTCGCAGGGACAGAAGAACCTGTTGATGAAGCTCAAGCTGGTCTACGAGGTGGGGGGGGCGAAGATGCAGGAGATGGCCAGCGTTGGCTCGTTCCCACCAGGATACTGAGGAGGGTCCGCCCCGCGTTCGGGTAGAATTTGCGCATGGTTTTGGATTATGCCAGCAGTGGTCGGTGCTTACAGAGGCGTTGACTTGTCGATCCACCGTGGTGTTGGAATGGATGGTGATCGCACGGTGAAGAAAGGCCGCGTTTCAGTCTAGGTCTTCCCCCTCACCTACGGGCGGGTCACGAAGTTCAGGTCGCGCGCTCTCGATATTCCGTTGATGCTTGGGTAGCGTACGCCACTGGCTCAGCCCATCGATAAATGTATCCGTCTTAGCCTGATTTTTGAGAAATTGCTGGGTGGTGTGTTGGCGGTCGTAGTACGTACCATCGTGTTCCGGCCTCCGTTTTTTTTTTTTCTCTTACCCACCACAACGATATTCTTTTTGCTGTCGTTATGTATGCTGCTTCTACAATCCCTTGTTCCCCTGCCTCCTTCCACTTGTTGTCGATGAAGCAACGACACCTGATGCAACCACACGGCCGTGCCGAACCCGTTCTTTTTTCTTGTTGTCCCCGTACGTCTTCGTTGAAAAGGAGGGTGGGAGACACAACGTAAAATAGCATCGTGCGTGACCTTCGTGTTGCGTGAACTACCAGGCTGGTTGCTTGCGTCCACACACACACCGAAAGGTGCAAAATCAAAATGACGCCGGGAACTAAATGAAGTACAGCAGTGCGACGGCAAAATACTTGAAAATACTGGTACGTCAACGACCTACAGCGTCTTGGAGGCTCCCTCTTCGTGCGACCTTGCCAGTACAGTCGTCGTCGTCGTCGTTTACTTTTACTGCGAGCGTGTCGTCGTGCATTGTTCGCTCATTGCGATTGCGAACAACCTCCTACAAAACGAGGCCGGAGGGAAGTCAGGGGCGGGAAATGGTCGCCACCATGAAGCTCGCTCTCCCTTTGCTTAAAATGTGCTTCTTAGCTTGATCTGGGTCAAACGAGGTGCCGTAGAATACAACATCAGCTGCCACAAATCAAAGCCGGTTTACAGGTGGTTCTGGCTAGGATTCCTTCACTTGAGGTTTCTTCCGTGCTTGAGGATCATTTTTCGTTCTTTAAATCTTCCAGTGTCCTGTGACTTGGTTCGATAGCGTCGCCCTCTTCCAGTCCAAGCGCGCCACGCACAACTACATACAACCCATTCCGTTCCGCTTCCGGCGCCCCGATCACAACACGACAAGTGTACGAGCAGCCGCAGGTATGTGGAGTAGTGTCCCTATTAAGCCTCAGAGCCAGTTAAGCCCCACTTTTTTTGTAACCGTCATAGCTTTCCGCCAAATTCATGGAACTTCATTTTTTTATTTATTTTTATTTTTCTTAATATGACACAGCGAGTCCATCGCTATCATAGAAAAGAGTCAGAGACAGATTAACAATGGAATCATAGCGTCAGAGAAAACTACCTGTGTGTCTACGATTTCCCAGACTTTTGAAATTTGAAAAGCACACCGTTAGCTTGCGTTTGAGCATCTGTACGCACAAATAAGCTGCGCCACTCCCGAGATACAGCGCCACAACCACCACCGTCGGCGGATACTGCAAGGTTGGCGTTTTGGCCGCTCCTGTTGCAAAGGATGGTCAGGTCTAAGGTGGACCCAGAGCAGGCGCAGAAGGCCATCGAGGCTGTCCGCAGCGGCGCAATGTCTCTCCGGGCTGCTGCACAGGCCTATGGCGTGAAAAAGCGCTCTCTCTCTCGCCGGCTGAGCGGTGATATAAGCATGGATGCAAAGGTTGGTCCAAGGACTTGTGCTCACAGTCGAGGAGGAAATTTTTTTTTGAAGAGATGCACTGCTGTACGCTGCTCGTCACTTCATCGGGATCGACCGGACCGCGCTGCAAGAACATGTGCGCCAGCTGTGCAACGACGGTCGGGATATCCCGTGGGATGCAGCAGTCGACCCGGGCCGATCATGGCTAGACGGGTTCTTCAAGCGGCATCCTGCGCTGTCGGAACGCAGCGCCCGCATCTACGAGGCCAACAGAATCATGAGTGACGACGAGACTCGCCTGCAGACGTTCTACAAAGACTTTGGCGAGTTCGTTGACAAGGAAAAGATCCCTGCCGATCACCTGTGGAACACAGATGAGAGAGGTGAGGTCCATAAATTATAGATAGAAAGGTGTTGCTGATGGATCTAAGCAGAAGGCAAGGGCTACAGCAGTGCTGTAGTGCGCGGTGCAGCTGCGCGGCAACTTGCTAGCAGCAGGCGGAGGTGTGCCGATATTTTTTTTCAGTGTGGATCGTTGGATCCGCCCTCTGCAACCCACACACCCCTGCAAGATCTATTCCACTACCGCTGTAGACTAGACTAAAACGCACGGTTGACATACACTACAAGTAGCACATGCCCCCTCCCCTTTCCCCGGCGCTCACTGTGTTACCGTACGCTCGAAGTCACTCGAGTTATAGCAAGAGGGACGGCGGCATGAGGTGTGTGTTGGGGATGAAACAGAAACCTAGACGGGTTTGGCTGTGTGTCGCACTCTAGCGCAAGCGTGCGTGTGTTCGTATGCGACTGCGCCTCTTTTCTGATGTGATTATTNGCGCCGGGCTGTTGTTGGTCGTGGGCGTGTAGTTGGTCGAACGGCGGGCGGTAGAGGGGCGGTGGGTGGGCAGGGAGTAGAAAGTCGACCCGAGGCGGCGGCCGGCAGGCAAGAGGGAGGTCAGGGGCAAGGGCGGGGGCGAACAGAAGGAAGGGGCGGGCGTGGGAGGGGCGGCGGGCGGAGCGGGGTTCGTGATCAAGTGGGGGAGGGGGTTGTGGCGAATGCCACTGGGCGGGGTGCTGGTCGTGGTCGAGTGGTCGGAGGGGTAGTGGGGAATGCCGGCGTATCCAGGTCAGGGCGAACGCTGACGCCGGCACGCGTAGTCGACGTGTAGGTTTTTCTGTACCGATCCGAACTCAACCTAGTTTGATTCCAAATCGGTTGAAACCGCCCTTGGAATTGGCAAAGAGTCGGCAATCAAGTGGCTGGAGTTTTTGCTTGGAGCGTCGAGCAGTAGTTCTGCGATTGTACGAGGCCACGCTGTACCGTTCTAGCGGTTTGAATCAGTTTCTGACTGGAAAACCCGGGGATGTGACCACTCTGTCCCCGGTTGGGGACTCCTGCCCCCCGTTTGTATTTACTTGCTCCTTGCTTTAGTGTCGAGGTCTGTGTCAAACGGCGAATCATGGGNCTTGGAATTGGCAAGAAGTCGGCAATCAAGTGGTTGGAGTTTTTTTTTGGAGCGTCGAGCAGTTCTGCGATTGTACGAGGCCACGCTGTACCGTTCTAGCGGTTTGAATCAGTTTCTGACTGGAAAACCTGGGGATGTGACCACTCTGTCCCCGGTTGGGAACTCCTCCCCCCCGTTTGTATTTACTTGCTCCTTGCTTTAGTGTCGAGGTCTGTGTCAAACGGCGAATCATGGGTTGAAAGCGAAGTAGAGAAAAACAGGAGATAGATGCAGCGTCGTGCATATCGGGACTGGGGGTTGCCGTAGACGGACGCGAACACCGGTACATGCACCCGCTTCTTACCGATCAAAATGGCGTGCAAACTACCGTTTCATGTCGCGATTTTTTTGTGAAGTCGTTGTAAACCAGTACCAACTCAATCCTGAACATTTTTTTGGCCCTACCCCGATTCATGGTCACGGGGCCCCTCAAGCAAGCGATACTTGGGGTGTTTTTCCGTCCAAAAAGTTGGTTCAAAACCCGGGGATACGCCAATTTCATCCCCGCATACATTTTATTTTTTTTGCTACGACTCATATTCATAAGGTGATTGACCGTGACACCAAGTATCATGTCCTGAAGCGTTGTTTAACGTGCACAATGTGGCTCTAACGCAAAGTGGGGCTTAATTGNGGCCCTACCCCGATTCATGGTCACGGGGCCCCTCAAGCAAGCGATACTTGGGGTGTTTTTCCGTCCAAAAAGTTGGTTCAAAACCCGGGGATACGCCAATTTCATCCCCGCATACATTTTATTTTTTTTGCTACGACTCATATTCATAAGGTGATTGACCGTGACACCAAGTATCATGTCCTGAAGCGTTGTTTAACGTGCACAATGTGGCTCTAACGCAAAGTGGGGCTTAATTGGCCGGGGGTGGTAGTTTCCGTTTTTTCAGCTTCGAGGAGCCACGTATTGTACTGACTCTTAACAGCACACAAACTCATTTGTTTTCAATTTTTTTTTTCTACACTCAGATATTGATGTTGGCTTTCGTTCAATACCTCGATTGTACTCTAGTTCAACCTTTTCACGAAGTACCAGCTTTTCCCGCACAGGGTGGCTTAAGTGGGGCTTCATAGGGACATCTACTCTACATGCTAGGCGGCTGCTGCTTCTCAACGCTCTAGATAATGGGTGGGTACGCTCTACCACGACTCAAGTACGATGTACGATGTGTGCCCACCCTCCACGCCCAACAACACTCTCGTAACTTCTTCCGTACACAAAAGAACGCGCTTGCACCCCCCGCCGCCCCCGTGCAACACCCAGCCCAACTGCTCTCGCGTGATCACGTAACCGCCACGCACGAAGCGAACAAGCAGAGGATGAAATGAAAATGCGTGCCTAAGCCATGTCAACTGCCCAAGCGAATGGAAAGGCAATCGACCAATCGACGGTTACCGACGGGTTCCACCCCCGTCACCTTCTTGGTCAGACGGGGGGTGCTCTTGTACTTGTTTTAGTCTCACGATAACGAGTGCGCGGTAGCCGCCGCTATGTACTAAAACGGCTCAAGTGTTAGACATGTACCATATTCCTAGCTCGATTCCGTCGAACACCCCCACTTGCGCTGTGTGCCGACACAAACACAACAATTCGACCGATGTACAGGGCACTCACTGACTTCGTCTACCAAATCCAGAAGTTCGCGACAGAAAGTATCGATGAAAGGCTTGTCAAAGGCGCAAACAACATGCGGGTCAATTTTGGGATCCTCCGCAAAGTTAAATGCAAAAACTAATGAACACAAAAGACGGTGTGTGGAAGGGGGAGGCATTTTCACTTCACCACAAGAAGAAACTCCTCACTGCTATGTACAGCAACGCCCACTACCCGGTAAAGATGGTGCCTCTCCTAACAGCTTGTCCAAGTCCCCGGGTGCCGCGCGCCGCTCATGGCTGAGTTACACGTAGCGTCAGATAAATACGCCGGTGTTGTTGCTCGTGGCCATCGACGCCACCCGGCGGAACATTTCTACCAACCCCACCGTGCGAGAGGCAAGGATGCTTTCTCTTCGCTCCTCCACGTGCTCCGCCACCATGCGGCAGGAACCTGCGTTTTTGAAGCTCAGCACCTATCCACCCGGCCGTGGACATAAGACACGGGAGGGTAAGGGAAGACGATAGCACTTCACAAGAGGTGGCGGCGGGAGGTTCTTGCAAACTTGTCGCACGCGCGTTGCACTGCTGCGGGTGGAGTTTTCCCGGTTTTACGGCTCAAACGGACCGCGGTGAACATGGCACAAATCAACAAATCCTTAACACCATGAAATGACTGCACAAGGCTTCTTTCTCACAGATATACCTATAGAACAGCAGTGAGCTATCGCGTGAGGGCGGCAGCGAGGCACACCATCAAAAACTACTCGTCCAAACCCACTGCATGGACGCCTAAGGGGTATTATTGACGACCAAAAAATCAAGGAACATCTCACGGAAGCGTGTTTTCTCGAACATGTATATATATGGAGGCGTTTTTCCCCGAAAACGTGAAAAAGAGCCAGGATTTTGGGGGGGCTTGTACTTTCACGGATCCGTGTTTTTGACTAAGCATCGGACAAGCGCACCGCGGGCGCTGTGTAACATCACAGAGAACGCTAGAAAGACCTGCCAGACTCACGTCCAGATCTGTTGTGGAGATGGACAAGCGGTAGAAGCGGCGTTCAGTCCGTTCTTGGTCCAAAACTAGACATGTGGTGTGGTGCTGGGGAATTTTTTTCAATCACACATAGCAAACACGAAAACAGTAGAACGAGTACAGCAGCAGCACCAAGACCTCCAACGCGCTGATTCCTTCGGTTCGTCTGTCTATATGATACCATCTCCCGGCGCCGTGCTGCTTCGTGGGTATTGGGTGCTGCTCAATGCCGTGTGTGAGAGACGTGTGCCACCTCACCAAATGCAGTTGGAAAAAATGCGGCGAGATGATCTGTTTTTGGTCGGACACGTCAACATCAATCCACGGCACCACGTAGCAGAAGAGCAACAGGGCCTCGACACGCTAATTCTTTCGGATTGGCCATCTGTATGATGCTGGCCGTCAGCGCGGCTGCCGCCCCATGATTGTTGAGCTCGTCTACCTCTGGGCAGGTGGTGGTCAAAGATGGGGGTCGCAACCGTGAAAAATGAGCTGACAAACTGAAGAGAACGCAAGCAACACCTAGGTTGAGACACTCTGCCCTGCGCCTGTCGCGACTTTAAACTGAAAACAGCAGGCCGGGTGGATAGGATCGTCCGAAGTGTGCTGTACTCTGCGTCGGGTGCTGCTCATTGCGCTTTTACCGCTGTTCTATGGTGAGCAACACCAAACCAACCTGTTGTGTGCCGAGCAAAGCGTGTATTCAGGGAAGGAAACGTACTTTTTGCGATGGCATCACGAATAGAACGAGCGAAAAAAAGTCGGGTTTTCTTTTGACCGTTCCGTGGAAAATTGCACGACTCTTCCGTTGCGTTAATAACGAGCCTAATAAGCACCACACTTAAACGCAAGCATCAACCCGAAGCAGTACAATACCAAGGGCGGTGGTGGCGGCCTCACGCCTCAATCATAACACCAGCGCGCCAAGTAGCCTCTCGAAAACCCTCCTTCTCACCAGATGCCAAGCCCCCAAGTACCCCGCCCCCGTGAAGCCTGCGGCTCCGCCCCCATCCCCGGTCCCCGCCGCCCCCCCGGGGACGGGCAGAAACAGCCCCGGTCCGCCCGTCGACCCCACCTGCGCCTCCTCCCTCGTGGAAACCTTTAGCTCTAGGACGCGGGGGTTCGCCGGGTGTATCTTTGCCGCGGTGTTCTTGAGCGGGGCGACGCAGAGGAGGAGACCGCCGTGTAGGGGGGAGTACGGCGGGTCTGGCACGACGACCATGAAGTTCTGCTCGTCAAGGATAACGCACAGCTCGTCGGGGGCCGGGTCATGCGGGGAGAACTGATGTTGTTGTTGTTGTTGTCGTCGTCGGCGTTGTTGGCTGCTGCCACCGCTACCAGGGCTAGGTCCGCCCCCGTTCGTTGGTGACTCTGCTGTTCCTGTCCAGAGGGCGGGGCCGTAAAGAAGGCCGCTAAACATGCCGCCACCGCCGCCGCCGCCGCCGCCGTTGACCCTTACGCTATTGCTGCCGTCTCCGTTCTGCGTCGGCACCGGCGTAGGCGGAGCAGCAGTAGCTGCGGCGTTCCTCCTCTTCCTCGCAGTCGCCGCGGCGGTCGAGACTCTGGTGGCCGAGGTAAGAGGCTCCGCGGCCATCGGCCCCGGCCAGTTGAACGGCAGGCAGCAAGCCAGGCAGAGCTTGCCCGAGAGCTCCACCCGCCCGCCGGGCCTCGGCGGCGCGGCCGCGCCGCCGCTTGTCCGGCTCGCGCTATCGCTCCCGCTCCTTCTCTTAGGAACATAGGCCGTCCCCTCCTCTCGCCCGCTGCTCGCATGCTTCGAGGGGTCCCTGTCGGCATCCAGCAGAAAAACGCCACCGCTCTGCCCGTCATCGACGTCGTCGATGACCCCTACCAGAGCTAGAAACTCCTTGTCCACTCGAACACTCCCCGCTACAAAAGATGTTGTCGGTTGTGGCGGCGGCGGCGGCGGCGGCGGCGGCGGCGGCGGCGGTGGCGGTGGTCTTCTGGTCGATGCGCCCGGCGGTGGGAAACAAATAGGAGACGAAGCCGCATCCGCGATTGCGATCGCCGTGCCGTCATCTGAAGGCGGGCCCTCTCCCACCAGCCACTGATGCAACGAGCGGAGGGCGAGGAAGTTCTGGCAGGGACGGCGGCGGTCGTCGTGAGGGACAGCGTGTGGAAGAGTGCAGACGGGGCACAGCAGGTATGATGCGTTAGTGAAGGGAGGAGCTACCACGTCGTGAGAAAAGAACAAACTTCGAGGTCATCCCATAACCGCGCTAGCGAACGTGTTGGACCTGTTGGTCGAGTGTGGGCGGGGTGCGAGCACGCCAGGGAAGAGATGCTATCCACCACAAGTAACGGCGTCGAGGAAAGGGAAGATGGCGCTAATTCACACGCGCCGGGAGACGTCGGCGGTCTGAAGCCATCACAACCCAACCAACAAACAGACAAGGCATTCAACGAACACCACGATCTTGCAGCAAAAGCCCAACTTTGCGCCGGCCAGCAGACGACTTGACGCCTCTCAAGGATCAGATCCTCATGTTGCCGAGAACCAGGACGGGTACGTGGCGTGAGACATCCCTACGCACCTGCACGCGAAACGCTCGCAAATCGCCCTCCTCACTGCCGGCAACCCTCCTCTTGGGGAACCCGCCGCCCCAGCCGACCCCACGGGCTGCCGCCTCTTCCCCGCCCAGCAGCAGCCCGGCCCCCGCGACGTCCTTGAGGCGAGGAGGGGGGGACGACAAACACGCGTCGCCCCCGTCTGGGTCGACCTCTTCGTCGCCTCCGAGGAGTTCCACCGCGTGCTCACAGGCGGCCAGGAGGTCGAACGGGTTACGGCGCGTCGTGGCGCTGAGGACAACCTCTGCTTCCGCCGACAGACAAAGAACAGATGAGGTAGCGGCAAGTCAGGCCACTGCGGCACAGACGTAGAGGAAAGGAAGGCAGACGATCCACGCGGAGCTACAGCCGTGGTACACGCGAAAAGGGGGTTCAGATGTTGCCCCCCCCCCCCCCAGGCCATCGGTGATTGATCTTGCGGGAACAATTCTCTGTCCTCTCGAGGATGCATGCGTGGTCAATGGTCTACCGCCAAATCATGCAAAAAATAAGAGTACGCCCCCCCCACCCCCTCCTATACTCACCCGCAGATCGGGCGTACACGTCCGTCAACATGACCGCATACTTCATGGTGTGCCGAGTGCAGCCGGGAGCCCAAAAACCCCCGGGGGGCAACGAATGAGTGGCCGCCGAGTCACCGCCGACGTCCGCGATGCTGAAGTCCCTTGCAATGATTTGGCCGCCACTGCTGACGCCCGTACCGCCGCCGCCGCTGCCGCTGCCTCTCTTGCGACTGGAGGAGGACACGTGGAGGGCAGAAAGCTCCTCCATGACGGCGACGGCGGTTCGAACGGCCACCATGTCGGCTGCGGGCGGCTCGGTGAGAGCCTCGAGCAAGCACGCCATCACCTGGTTGTCGGGGGGAAACGCACAAGGGGTCGAGGAAAGAACCGGGAAAACAACGGGCCGACGACCAGAAAAAAAAAAAAACAGCATGAAAAAAAAAAAACAGCGAATGGAAATGGAAACTCGACCCCGACGCAGGGGCAGTGTGAATGGACACCCTCCATCTAGACCTTCTACGATGTGTACGCTCGGAGGGTATCCTCGCACCCGCACTCCGGACACCAAGTAGCAAGCACATTTCTGAACAGCTGATGCCGGAGCACGAGAAGAACAGCACCAAGCAGCCAGCTCCGAGACGAAAGATGCAACGTCGTCATCCTGTACAACACTTCTTGGTCGGTCCATCGGAAAGCCGAGATTTCCTCTTCGCGCCTTTCAGGACAAGGCATAGGTAGCGCCAACGTTCAACCGGAAGAATACCCCCCGCCACTAGTGATTCCGCACCTTCAGCGGAGCGCGCCGTAGAATGCATGAATACCACCGTGTCAGTATACCAGCGTGTGAGAGACACTTGCTTACATCCCCCTAGGTAGAGCGGCGGCTGGTTCTATAGCCGGTAACCGCGCCTCCGCCCCTACCTCTCACCTGTTCGAAGCACCCCGGACTTTGCCGCCCACCCGCAGAGGCCGTCGTCCAATTGCTGACGCCGCCGCCGCCGCCCCTCGTGCCACCATTCCACGACATGGTCGTCCCAACGGCCCGTCTACTACCCTCCGCCTGCTGCGCCGGCGCCCCCTCCAGCAAGATGTCGGCCACCGTCGCAGACGGATTCCTCACCGCGCTCCACAAGACGGCCGTGGCAGCGAGCCGCACCTGCGCCCCTTCCCCCCCCCGTTCCCCCGGGTGGCGCCGACGCCTCCTCCGCTTGACGCAAGCCAGAAGGGACTTTCGGTAGCGGTCCACCCCTGCTTGATCCTCGGATTCTCGCTCGCTATCGACGGCGCCTCCCGCCTGCCCCACCGGCACGTGCCCCTGCGCTGCTGTTGAGCACGAGTGCTGCCGTGACCTTCTTCTCGAGTCGACCGTTGTTGTCGCGGCAGCTATGCTCGTCGACGTTCGGATTCTGCCAGGGCTGACGTTGTCAACGCCGCCGCCGCTGCCGCCGTTGCTGTTAGGGCTAGCGGTGTCTCCTTTTCCTCCTCCTCGTTGCTGTCGTCCGAAAAGCTCGCCCGCCACGAGGATGAGAAGCGGGCCGTCCGTGGCCAGCATGAACAGCTGACACAGCGCGTACAGAGCCAGCTGGAGCTGACATTCCCACGGGCCGGCAAAACAAGAGAGATAGTGATGTATGTCCACGGCCGGGTCAATGGTAGGACGAACAATGAACGGGCGAGGATGAAGTTGGAGCGGGGGGCGGGTGCAAGTAAATCATGCGAAAGGAGAGCGCGTTGCCGCCATCCCACCAGGTACAGAGACGTTCGGGTAAAATCATACACGAAGCTTGGCGTCGGCATAAAATGCTGCAGCTATCGAGAACCCGAGGGACCCTCAAAAGGTAGACCTCAAAACGAAAATGGCTGTCAAATTGCATCCAGATTCCCAGCTGAACAACGACTCGGAGGGGTTGATCGGCCATGTTTCGACCCTGATCGTGAAAACCTCTCCGCCAAAAATGACGACATGATCTGGAACGTGCGGCACATTTTGGTGGCCTTCACCCCATCCACCACTCAACCAAGACACAAGCAGTCGCGTCTTGTTTAGCTCTCTCACTTCTTTCATCTCAGCACACCCACACAGAGAGGCACACGGCACGCAACTCCCCATCGGACGAATTCAGCGAGGACTCGGCTGACGACAGTCAGCAAACCCCTAGCCCGGCATCGGGCAGAGCAGGGCAGCCAAAAACGAGGTCATACATAGGCAATAAATCTAGCTCGGCAACGCGGTCCCGTGGGCGTGCGTGCAAGCACGCCAAGACCAGCCTACTAGTAGAAACCCAACAAACACACCCAAAACAAGCACGTAAGACTACCCACGAAGATCAGCCCACCCGACACCCACCTCAGACTCTCTCTCTTCCGCCATCGCCTCTTCCTCCTCCCCGTCCTCTCCCACCGTACAAGGGACGTCCGTCTCCCCCTCAGCCTCTATGGAATCCGCTAGCGCCCCTAGAACAACGGGCCTGAAAAAGCGGCGGTGGAGGTGTAGCGCCAGCTTCTCGGAAAGGAGGGAATCCCCTACACTCAGGACGTCCTAGACATGAAAAGCGCACAGGAGAGGAGAGCGTGGTGGGGGGTGTACTGCTGTACTCTGTTGTTGCTGTTTGGGCCGGGTTATTACCAAGCATTGTCCGGAATTATGGGGACCATATATATTCACATGTGTATCCGAATGGTCCTCATATGTCCAAACAGAGTCTGTAGCAATCAAGACAAACAAACTGCCTCCACTAGTTATCACGTGCCTTAGCGTCGTAGCCTCAATAAGTGCACCGCAGTAGAAAAACAAGCAAGAGACATCCCGCGTGCGCACGACGAGCACCGAAATGAATACTTTCCACACCAGGAAGGAACTGCTCTCATCGTGATGTGATCTACCAAAAGCGGAGGACAAGAGAGCTCCGTGCGGTACGAATGCTTGTGCGGCACAAAGACCGTCTTCACCTGCACGTAGTACAACATGTCCTGGAAGAAACTGGTTGCTCCATCGATCGCCGTGTTCTCGGCTGAGCTTGTTGGCTCCACGTCTTGCCACATCTTAAAATATGGGCGGGCCGGGGGNGGGGTACGTCAAAGTCTCTAAATAGACGACTGTTGGGCGCATGACAACGCAAAACGGATAACAACTCGCGCTTACGACTTATGCAAAGGAAGTAATTGACCGGTGGCAAACGGTTCGTGTTTCAGTCTGCCTCGCAATATAATGCAGCGAACGCGTTGATCATGAGCATTACCCTGGACGAAAAAATTTCCGCTCCGCCAGCCATGAACCATCCCCTGCCCCCCCCCCACGGCCGTTTCGCCTCCCCTGTCACGGCCTTGTCTTGCCTACCCCGTTCCCTTACCCTGCAGAGGACCTGGGAGTACGCGTCCTGCATGAGGCGCGACAGCTGGTCGAAGAAGCCGATGTGGTTCTCCTCGCGGGTGAGGAAGGCGGTAACGCCGGGGTCCTTCACGGAAAGCACTTGCAGGACGATGCTTAGCGCGGAGGTGCGGACCTGCGCGTGCATCATGACCGAAGGGTGCAGTGCCAACCCGGAGGACAAAAAAAAATGGGCAGGAAGGATCAATGAGGAAGCAAAGGTCATGCGCAGCGGCCGAGGGTGGGCTGAACGCAATGATCCTGGTACGCGGGAGCAAAAGACACTTCGCATTCGCAACGTATCAGGTCTATTTACACTTTCAAACAGAACTCGCCATGGTGCTCGGCCGCCTTTCAAACTTGCAACCAATGTCTCCGATGAAACAGTACGTTGTTTGTCCGCACGAGAGGGTGTTTCGTGAGGGGAGGGGTGCAATCCGAAAAGCGATCTCTCAGCTATCTCACAAGACCCCGGATTTTCCTTGTCCAAAGCCTACACTCGACCCGAACGCTCAGTTAAGTTCCAGGCTCCCCACCCCGGAAAAACGTTGGGCGGCCCAAGTTTTTTTGAACCACGTGAACTGCTTCTACGTAGGAGACCACAGGGAAAGCGCGTCTTACGCGATCGTGGCGCTCAAAAAAAGCGACCGCGTATTATCCAGATAGCGCCCACCCTTAAAAAACTTGACAGTTACGAATTGATGTAGCCTCGAAAAACTCAAAACCTAAGACCTTGAGCACCATTTGTGAGCCCGGTCAAGAACCTCGACACGAAAAACCTGTATAGTCGCCATTCGTAGCCCACGAGAGGAAAGAGGAACCCCAGCCTCGGCCAACATTAGAGGTTCCTAAGTGCGGGCGCTATCCGTGTGTATTCTTGGGATTTCTGGCTCGGTTTGGCTTGTTTGCATACCGTGGTCTCGGGGGGGGGAAATCGACTTGAAAAATGTCAAGTATGTACCATTGGGTCCGGGTGCCCGATGAGCGGGATCGATCGCGAGTAGAGCGGGAAGCTTCCTTTCGTGGTGTTGAGAAAAAACGGGACCTGTGTAATTTGTTGTGGAACCACACGAGGGTGGAACGCGTGCGTGCGAGAGAGGGAAAGGGGGGGGGGGGGGGGGGGGGGGGGG